ATTAAGTTTTTCTATATGCTACCAGCTTAAGTCCGCGACTGTACAGAAGCCATTAGAATTCTCTGTGCCGATGTGAATGCCGCTTAAACGCGTGCCAACGACACACACCGCACAAATCGCAGTGTTCCTAGGGACACATTAGTCGCGTTGGCGACAATGATCCGCTCTAGTGGAGTTTCGATGGGAACGCTCGTTCGGCATGGAGCGCGAGAGAGCGGCCAAGAATAGCAAAGGGCACGCGAATCTAGCCGTTCCGTAAATGAGTGGTTGGCAAAGGTGTACGACTGAAGGCGACCGACCGAACGACCGCTCCCTCCGGTAGTCCGCGAGTCAAGTCGAGAGACTCGAGGTGCGTTCGACAATACAATTCGCGACGGGAATACAGCTCCGCGCGCGCAAGAGAGAGAGAGACCTATCTCTCTCTTATATGGAGCAGACTCGCGGGAAACGCCTGTTTCACGTGCCGAATCCTCGCGCGCAGTGAACGCAAGCGCACATTTGTGTGTATATGTTGTGTATATGTGTTGTGTATCGTGAAGCGCATATGTATAGTGCAATCGTCATCGCCGTCGTAGCCGTCGTCGCCGTCGTTGCCGCGGTCGTCGTCGTTGCCGCCATCGTTACCGTCGTCGCCGTCATCGTCACGTATACACACGAAGAGCGAGGTTGGCTGAGCCTACAGCAGAGCGAAGAGGAGGAGGAACACGAGAGAGAGAGAAAGCGTGATAGACGGGCCGGACAGCTAGGGTAAGAGCGAGAAAGAGAGAAAGAGAGACAGAAAGAGTGAACGAGAGAGCGCGCGGACGAGCGAGTGACCGTGCGCGTGTGCGCGCGTCCAGTAGTGTGCGCCAGCTAGTGTGCGTCGCTTGCGTGTGTGCGCGGACGCGCGCGTGTGCCAGCGGGAAGAAGCCTGAGTGAAGAAGAAGCCTGTGAGTAGAAGGCGCGAGAAGAGAGAAGTAGTAGTGGTTATAGCGGGAGCTCTCGCTGCTCTCCGCCTTCGAGAAGGAAAGAGAGAGAAAGAGAGAGAGAAGAGGTGCAGCAGCCGCCGTCGTCGCCGCCGCACCACCACACCATACTACACTACTACTACTGCTCCTACTACGACACCACCACCAGCGCACGCACGCACGCACGCGAGCACGGTCGCGAAGCTAAGCGCGTCGTGCTTCTCTTTCTCCGCCGCCGCGCCGGTGCAATGTCTCTCGAGACACGTTCGAGCTCGGCCCTGTTCAAGCGAGCCGAACAGCTCAAGCGCTGGGAGCAGTCCGAGACGAATCGCGAGCCTGCACAGCCACGGCAAGTCGCGCGCAAGATCAAGTTTTCGGCGGACTGCGTGTTCCTGGCGGCTTGCGCGGCCAGCGACAAGGAGGAGGTCGTACGCCTGCTTCAGAAGGGGGCAGACATCAACACCGGAAATGTCGATGGCCTTACGGCATTACACCAGGTAAGGGACACATCCTGTCGCCGTGTCGCGCACCGCCGATGATAGCCGCGTGTCTGAGTCGGAGCACAGGAAACGTCAGTTGCGTCTCGCTGTTCGTCTCGATTTTGACAGCTTTGCTCCTGCGGGATGCACGTTCTGCTTCGCACCTTCCTCTGTCGTTCTCTATTTCCCTCTCTCTTCCCCTCCGCCGCTCCCCGTCCCCCTCTCTCTCTCTCTCTGTCTCGTTCTGTCTCTCTCTTTCTCTATCTGTTTCTTTCTGTCTCTCTTTTCTGCCGAACGTAATCCAGCAAGATGGCTGCTACGACACTCCAGCTGTCTAATTCGAGTACTATTCGCGGGGATTCCGTCGTGTACTCGACGTGTCAATGAGACCGTTCACGGGGAAGGGAACGTGTAACGTAACGCGTCGCTCTTAGCTGTCGACGCGGCCGTCTCGCCCGGGGATCGGCACGTAATCGTCGTTTTGCGAGCACGAACGAACGGCGTCTGTTCTTAACTGTTAATTACTACTTACGTGCATTAGAGAAGATACTATTCCGTGCGGGAACGCCTTGCTCGTGCAACAAAAACGTTGACCTCACTGCGAGACCTGTCGATTCATCGAGTTAATCGATGAATTTCTGAAAAAATCTTGTTTTCTTCCTCTTCTTTTCTCCTTCTTTTCTAATTTGTTATTAATGTTTATTTGATCGCGTTCAATTTCGCAGCAGTAATGTATTGCCACAATGTGTCGCACAATTGTCATACATTTTATTCAGTGTTCCTTGAACTTTTATTTTTTATTCATCCAAATGTTTATATGATCTAACCATACACGAATTTGACAAAACTCAATTGTTACATAAAACTTGGTTAGGTTTCAAAAATGTTTTACTGCGCGCGTCAACGCAACGTGTGAGAAAAGTATTGAAGAAATATCGGAAAAATATTGAATATAGCTAGAATACAACAAGAAAATGTTAATTTTGTAGTTACAAATTTTATACAAAAATATTATTAATTTTGTTAGATCTTAAAAATGTTCTATTGCTCGTGTCAACGTTACGTGAAAGAGAAATATTAGGTAAAGTCAGAAGGCAAGGAGAAAACTTTAATTTTATAATAATAAATTTTAGGGATATTTTTAAGACCTCTCTCAGCAAAATATCATCATCCAAAAGTTCTAATATATCCAAGTTGAAATATATCCAAAAGATACGTATCACTCGGGAAATTATAAAAATCTTCCCTCTGTTCAGTTTGATAAAATAATTAGTTTTTTTTTTATTAGTTTTCTGTTTCCTTTTATTAAACCAAGAATACAGTTTTGGATTAGATATTAAAGTAATGCCATTAAGAAACAAATCATAAATCTAGACATTTGTCACTTTATCCCGAGTCATGTGTCTTGCTCCTGTGTCATTTTTCAATTTATGTCGAGAATGTTGGAGTATTGAGTAATTACTGAGTCCAACATATTCCTACCTTACATCATATTGAGCACAATGTATGTGACTGCGTGCATGCAATTTATAAACGCAGTTACATTTAGTTTGTCGTCAATGAGTTATCGTTCTTCGTCGCATGCTCATTATATTTAATTTTAGCCTCACAGGAATTCCATTATTGTGCGTTCGTTAAAATCTCGCTCTTAACTTTGCGTTCAACTCTACCATGAGAGAGAGAGAGAGAGAGAGAGAGAGAGAGAGAGAGAGAGAGAGAGAGAATCAATTTTACGCGATCTTAAAAAAATCCGAGTATAAAGTGACCCCGAGACACACACTGTGTAGATTCGTTTTCTCACTACATTCGCAACGATCTTTTTTTTGCGAGCGGCAAGCTTTTGTGAGCACCAACCTATTTCTGGGTGTTTCTAAAAGCTGACGCAACTGGGCAATCCGGGACATCTAGTACATACATACCATAACGGTTATTACAGTATCAAAATAATTAGAGAATATTAACGAGAAAATCAGTCTGTGTACAAGAATTATCCGGCGGGAACGCTGTTAAATCAAAGAAAATTTTAGTTCCTAGAAAATAAATTTTTGGGATAAAATTATCGATTAAATGAATTGACGGTGATAATGATTTTGAAACGAAACTTGAGAGACCTGAGAGGAGATGGTTCCGCATAATCATGCAAATTCAAAAATGATGATCGTAACGCTACAAAATTATCAAAGCCTTATTAAGTGGAATAACATTTTTCATAACGTGAAACGATATTTATGGCTATTATTTAAGTGAGGAGGAAGTTAAGGCATTTCATGGATTTGCGAAAATAGAATGTGAAAATACATCAGGCATCAAATGCTATTTATAGCTCACTGTTAGAAGTCACAGGCTGCAGCATCTGTGTTCAGTTTAAATCCTCTGTGTCTAGCAATGTTGTAATACGTACCCAATTTTTTCTCGCACAGGTAATATCGAGGTTGCAGGAATTTGCATGTATTTAATGATACGGGAAGCGATTTGCATTTTTAACGTGCGCGCTCAATCTATTCGGGAAGATCGTTAATGTTTAAGTACCGACTTGCGAACGACATAAATTCCGTACTCTGCGCTACATTTACTGAAAAAAATGTATCGGAAATTATCACCGAAACTTCTTTATAACTTTCTTCGAATACGAAGTCGTGTGCGTTTTATAACGAAGTATTCCTCCTGTGTTGCGCTTGCGATTAAGGTTTCTCGGCGATATAATGATGCAATCAAAAATCTAATAGCGCATTTATAAAATAACGTCGATTCATAAGCTTTGGACAGCGACCAAAATCATCGGTCCCGATCTCGAAATACGTCCCGCTAATTGTTAAAACCGCGCTTTTACGTCCGTCTTGCGTGTATACGCGCGCATTAATATGTAATCGTCGTGTAAACGTCGCGGCGTATTCACACGACGTTATCATAATCACCGTGTAACAGGCCTGCATCGACGATGACTTGGACATGGTGGAATTCTTGGTGGAGCAAGGAGCTGATATCAATCGTGGAGATAACGAGGGATGGACGCCCCTGCACGCCACGGCGTCCTGCGGCTTCGTGTCTATTGCCAAGTAAGTGTATAAGTTCTCGCACCATCTCAGAAAATTATATTTCTCTCGTATCTCTCGTGGCCGCGAAAGTATATCTGAGATGTTAATCGCGCCGTCTCTGCCTATGCTGGTAGCAATACTCGAGAACGTTTGCTTTGCAGATACTTGATAGAACAAGGATGTAATCTGGCTGCGGTTAACAATGACGGTGAACTGGCGCTCGACATCGCAGAGAGCGACGAAATGGAGGATATGCTCCAACAGCATATAAATAAAGCAGGTTTGCATTTGCATGTATATTCGCGCAGGATGTCCGAGGCCTATTGCGTAAATTTTAATTATAGACTTCCGAGGAAAATCAAAGCCGGAGTTTCTCCCGCGCGGAACGTCTGTCTCGCCGAAATATCTCGGAGCGACGATAATTTTGCGAACGGTCTAATAACTGTATAAGCGGCATAAGCGGAAATTGAACGTCGCCTTTCGCGTATCGCCCCTTTCCGTGGATTATTTATAAAGTCATATTTTAGAGATTGTACGTACACATATACGCGCGCCCGCGCGCGTAAACTGTGTATGAACGCTCGACGTTGGTTGCAAACTCGCTCGCAGCTCGGATGCGGCAAATCGCGTATTGGCAAAGATGCCCTCTTCCATTGACCCCTTTTCTCGTTGCTGATATAATTTTACGTACAATGGCACTGAAATAGTCTTTTAAGTGATGTCTACTTATGACAGGGATCACAGAAATTACTCGTGTCTTGCACGTGCGAATAATAATGCTCACATAAACTCCGAAAGGAGGGATATCGCGATGTTAGATTCTTCTTCACGACATGGCACAACGCAATACGCCAATAAAATTGAGCTTAAACTATCGATTCCCTAATTATCATCGATTTGTTCAAAGGCAATTCGTCTATTTACGGAATCTCTGCTTAATTATTTGAGAGCAGTAGATCGTTGGGGATATATAGTATAATAAATCTAATCTACTTACAGGTATAGATTGCGATCAAGCTAGGAGTGAAGAAGAACGATCAATGCTGAACGATGCGAAAGCTTGGCGATCAGGTGCACCAGGCAAAGATTCCATGCATCCTAGATCAGGAGCCACCGCACTCCACGTCGCTGCTGCCAAAGGCTACATTAAAGTCATGCAGTAAGATATTGCTATTTGATTAAACGACAAAATATCGATCTTCTCATAAATAATTGTACATAAGGTAATATTCGCTTTAAAAATCTCCAGTCTTGTGAAAATAGAAGTAAAACATTAACCGTAAAAGATCAAAATCATGTAAATTCAAGTGATGAATATATTTTGGATTCAATGATATGTTTATATATATATATATATATATATATATATATATATATATATATATATATATATATATATATATATATAT